AATATACATCATTTTTATGCCCTCAGAAGTTTTCAAGTATTTTAGGATTTTAATAAGTAAGGAAAGCAATAGCTAGATATGGATCCATGGAGTGGTTTCATGTTTAATTTCATTAATACCAAATGCCCAAACAGAGTCTGAGATGCTGCTAATACTACATCAACATCTGTGAACCGATCCACGCACTCATGGAAAAGAATGGACAGCAATATTCTTTAGAGTTTGTTTTCTGTCTGTCTAGTCAATTTTCTCTGATGTGCCTGGCTGTGCTCCTACTAATTTACTCTTATATTGTTTAAATGATATACATTCTAGCACTCAAGAAAGGCTCAGGAACTACATTTTGTGGGTTTCCAATCCACACCATATTTCAGCTATTATGTATTTCTTGTGTTAGCCAGGATGGTCTCGATCTCCTGACCTCGTGATCCGCCCTCTCGGCCGCCTATTATGTATTCTCTAAAGAAAAAATCTTTTCTGTCCAACTAAAAGCTTTTGTTTCAGAAACAGGAGATGCTAACTCAGTTATAACGATTAGGTCTCCTTAAACTGTGTGTGTATTTTTTTTTTTTTCCTGTCGAGTACATTTAAAGTTTCTAGTTAGTTCCAAGATTTAAAATTTATTTTATGTATTTTATGAAGACATCTAGTCTAAACAGAAACATTTATCATCAGTATGTTCGTAAATGGATTGATGAAAAGTATCTGGATTTTTGATAGCAACAAATGATGTATTTTTCATATTTGCTTGAAATTGAAAGCAAGATGGGTTGGTCAGTCTCTTTTATTGAAGACTATGTAAAATGGAATAATTGGCAACTGAAAAAGTCATAAATGGTTGACAACTATGAGGGGAATAAATCAGGAAGTCCCACTGAGAGCAGAAACAGCACAATTTCTTCTCCTACTTCTATTCCTTTCCTGAAATGTGACTAGGGAGACATCATCTGGACTACTTTTCACTTCCAACCAGTTCTTCATTCAAACTGACTCAAAATGCCAGGGTCAACAAGGGACACTTCCTTTTGCTACTGGCTTCTGCTTCTAGTTCTAGAGTTTGCTGTGATCCCAGTTTCAGGCTTGCCCAGCAGCTGTAAAGGCTTTTCCTATTTTTTCCAAGGTTACAAAGAAGTGGTATCATTTATCTGTAAGGTTAAAAGTATGAATATCAAATGGTTTATACTAACTAATTTTGGAAATGGAAAAAATTCTCCATGCCCATTACATAACACTCAACAAAATTTAGTATGCCAACCCTGTCAAATGAGAGTGAGGTGAGGTGTTCTTGACCTTTTCCGGCCTCAGTTTTGCTATTGTTCATACTAATGTGGTTTCTCTCAGCACAATTTTGA